ATCACCTTCCTGCTTTTTCACATGGCAAAAAAAAAAAAAAAAAAAAAAAAAACGATTTTTTTTTTTTTTTTTTTTTTTATTTATTTATAAATCGTTTAACCGAAAACCGTCCGGTTTTGACAGGCGGTTAAACGGAATTGGAGATATCCGTGATGTTACAGCACTACATAGAACGCGTATTAAGGAGTGCGTAGCTTAATGTACCACGTAGCTTAAGGTACCATCACCATATGGTGGGGGTACCAAAAGCTACGCGGGTCCTAAAGCTACGCACACCATATAATACGCGCTACTGTATGCAGTGCGTAGCTTAAAGACCCGCGTAGCTTTTGGTCCCCCCATCATACATAGGATTAGGAGATTTCTTTCTATGGGAGACTGCATGTGTCAATCTCCTCAGCAAAATCACTGGCTGGAATGCCAAAACAATCTTATTTTTAATTAAATGCCAAAGAAGTTACAAGAGATTCAATCTGAAAAGATTGTGATGGAAAAGGATATTGAATCGTACTTTATTATTAGGTAGTCTAGGTTTTATCCCCAATTTTGCTGGTAGTCTGGACACTCTATCCTCATCAGGCACCCAATTCAGCGGCAGAAAGCAATAAAAGCATTGGTAAGTTTGAAATATTATATTAATATGAGTACTTTTTAGGACTTGAATACGTACATTATGTTACCAAGTTATAACCTATGCAGTAAATGCAAATATACAGGGTTTTTTTTAGTAAAATAGTAGCCAAAAGATTACCACGCTGCGAACCTTTTTAGTCGCAGGTGTGGTATATACGGTATAAAAGTTTTAAAATATCATTGTGGCAAAATGCGTTTTTTTTCCCCCATTACTTTAGCCGTAATATTGATGAAAAGTGAAAAAAGGTCTCAGGAGGCAGGCCCCTGGACGGTCTCACGAGGGAGGCCGGAGGCAATGAGACCCATGCCTGCAGGGGCCGGAGGCGGTCCGCCTACTTTAAACTAGAAGTTGTAATGTTGCTGCCACTGTGATTCTAGTCACACCTGCAGCCCTAAGTGCAATATAAGGGGGTATTGCATTGTATATGGAGTTGTGCACTATCTGAGGACTGTACAGTACTCAGCTTGAATGAACTATTGGATAAAATCCTTTTTTTACTATTCAAATGTTATTGCCAAGTCGTGTTTTTTCAACCTTATGTTTATTTGGTACTAATTTAATAAGAATATTATTTTGGATTAGTGAAATCAAATAGACTCTACAGATAAGTAGTAATTTTGAGGCAAAGTTTTATTGACCAGAGGCAAATTTTTACTGTTGGGCGAATGGTATTGGTTGCAGGTGTGATTCAAGACCGATAAATTTGTCTCCTTCAGGGTCTTTTTAAACAAATTCTGACATTAATGGCTGACCCATTCTAGAGACAGATCGCTACGTATGCCAGCGCTATGCGGGCCTCCTGTTCGAAAAAAATCAGGCCGGAAAAGGTGCATTTTAGCTAAAAATAAATCTGCTTCCAGTTGGGTGAAAATCTAGTCATTTTCCACTCGTGTACGAGTCCCACTCGCGTCAACTAGCGAACGGGAAGCTGCCTGCAGTACCCGAAGTTTCGGCAGTGAACGTGATCGCGGGCTGGCAGTAGGCCCGCATAGCGCTGGCATACGTAGCGATCTGTCTCTAGAATGGGTCAGCCATAAATGTCAGAATTTGTTAAAGAAAGACCCTGATTCCTGAAAGAGACAAATTTATCGGTCTAGAGACTAGATCTAGAACTTGTGTGATTCTACTTCTAGTCCAATAAAGCAGAAAAGGAAGCAAATGCCTGGTAATGGTAAATAGTCCTTTGTCGTGACCTTTACCTTGCGTTGTGTAGTTGTTTGGATCATCCTCAGAGACTCAGATTCAGAAGCATGCCATTAAATTTTGCATTTGAAAAACTCAGAATGATCTTATTAATTTGAAAATTTAAGATAGCTTTGGCCTTTTGCCTTTGCCTTTTGCATGGACTGGTTTATATTTTACGTACCGGTAGATCTATTCTAGTCTAGATCTCTAGATCTATCTCTCATCTAATTACAGTACTGCCACTAAGGGGGAATGTACAGTTTAGCAGATGAGATCTAGAGTGACGTAGGAGGCGGGGCCTCCGTTACTAAGGCTCTATATAGAAGCGATTTCAGCCCGAAGGGCTGAAATCGCTAGAGAGCGTTTTGGGGCCCCAAAAAGTCGAAAATCGGGTTCCCCGTCAAAAAGTAGTTTAGTAACCTACTTGTAGGTTGTTTTTAAAAATTAGAGCAAAAAACCGTCGATCTGCCAAAATAATCGGCAAAAACTAAAGTAAACAAAAATACGGAACTATTTTCATGACGTCAGCTTGGAAGAAGAATCTAGCTGGAAATTATTGAAGTATTGAAAAACATGCACTGCCACTGCGCATGTCAAGCATGAACTAGCTAGCTCTTGCGCGTAGTTAAGTGTGTGAACTGTGCAATGCATTATCACGTACGCAGCGCTGAGCGCTTATGCACACAATATATAATACACAAGACGTAGACTAGACAAACGCGAATTTTTAACAGCTGTAGACTCTAGCCTAGGTTTTCTTAGCCATCTAGATCATCAAATCGGATTTGGATTATCAAAAAAAGGTAAGCAGTATCTTGAATATAGGTCTTAGCCTTAGCTAGACTAGTTTTATAGTGATTTAATCCTAAAATCAGGGGGTAAACCCCCCAGACCCCCCTCGGCATTGATGCAATTTTTTTACAAATCGCCGACGACGCTGTTATGGCTGCTAACTAGATCATGTTAAGCCCCATATTATACAGTCCAGTACCTCGGCCAGACTAGCTACATGCGCATTAATATCTACCTTAGCAACGTTACGTCACATCCTTTTTGATCGCCGAGTGGCTATCCGCTAAACTGTGCTAGTACAATTAATTAATAACATATTAATTTTGTCCCATTAGTCTAGAAGATCTAGTCTAGCCTACATAGATTCTACATAATTTTTTACCGTCTGCCATCTGGCTCACATCTACGAGGTAAATGGTTCATATGAACCATTTACAAACCGTTAGTGTATTTTTATAGATATAGACCTAGATCTATGTCATAGCGCCACCTAGATCTATAGATGCACATACATGCCAACATTTGAAAATCATAAATCTGTACAAATTATGCTATTTTCCAAAAAAAGAGGAACAATCCTAACTCTCCTATTCAATGCTACCTACAGACAAATTTGTGTACAGGAAGAGGAACACCTGCATTAAAATGATAATTATCTTCTCCCAAAAAGAGGAATGTTCCTCTTTAATCTGAACAGTTAGCATGTATGGATGCATCGAATATAGAGTTGTGTTTTACAAAAGTTCATTTATGAACTTTAGCTTGAGTAAACTTTGTGATTAAATGTTTTGTTAATAGACTAGATCTAGAGTCTAGGCCTAGACTCTAGATCTAGGCCTATTCAAATGAGATTGCTAAGTCATCTATCTAGATCTAACTAGACTACTTTATGAATATTTAGAACTGTTTCAACATGAATATTATTTTGAATTAGCCTAGAATCTAGTGAGAACAAAAAGAGATGGATCATAATTTTCAAGAAAATTTCCAATGATCAGAAGGCAACTAGACTCTAGATCTAGTTACCATTGGCCGAATGGTAATGGTCCCTTGTGTGATCTGGCTTTCAATTTTTCCTGTGCAAGATATCTTGTTACAACATAAAATTAAGTGTATGGGACTAAGCTAAGCTATGCGTCTATTCGTAGCCGCACGGAAAGTCCGAAACTACTCAAAATTCGAATCTTTATTTGAATCATATGCATGATTTACACATGAAAACTACTTACCCAGGGCAGAATGAAACACCGGATTTCAAAATTCCGCTAAACTTTCCACTAAATATGCTTCATTTTACTAAGCACGAAGGTTTTATCTGGTCAAAACAAATATTATCGCTATTTTTCGTCAGCGCTGTTTATTGAATTTCGTACGGTACGATAGCTTAGGCCTATCGATATCCAGACGCGCGCGCATGTTCGATCGTCCGAAAACGCACGAATAATCATAATTTCCTGGAGCTCTAAACTGGTCAATTTACAGGGGTAAAATTTTCGAAAAACTGAAAAAATCCACCGAATGAGATAAAAATCTCCAGATAGGAAAAACAAGAGTCCCAAAATATGTTAGTAAAGAGATAATAAAGATATAATCCCAAGTTCAGGTAGATTCGCTAGATTTGTCTCTTCCCCTTAGAGCTGACTTTTAGACGACGCAAGATATAACGATGCCAATTCTCCCAAGGGTTTAACACCCCTGTCATGGAGAGATTATGATTCAATCTAAATGTCGATTTCAGTAGGTGATAAAGTCCCGTTTATAGCCTTGATTGAGTCTCTAAACAGCTGGGATCGTACCAAAACTGCTATGCAAAACGTTGCAGGCAAGGTAATTATTCCCCCTAACTAGACATTCCCCGTAAGCCACAGTTTCGAAGCATAGAAATTGCCCGCAAGTCGCAGTTAAGGTTATAATAATAATAATAATAATAATAATAATAATAATAATAATAATAATAATAATAATAATAATAATAATAATAATAATAATAATAATAATAATAATAATAATAATAATAATAATAATAATAATAATAATAATAATAATAATAATAATAATAATAATAATAATAATAATAATAATAATAAATTTATATAGCGCAGCTTTTATACAAAATATATTCAGCTGCGCTGGTTAAGAGCTCCTTTTTACTAAATTCTACAAAAATAAAATCTCTCAGTTGAACAAATAAGTTTTTAAAATGGATTTGAAAACATTGAGAGATGGAGTGCTTCGTGTTTCTATTGGCAAGCTATTCCATATTGTTGTGATACAAACTTACAACCCACTTCCTTTAAGTTGTTGTGGTACAAACTGACAACCCACTCCCTTTAAGTTGTTGTGATACATGTATAGTATTTCAAACTAATAATACTTTTATTTATTTATTTTCTACTTTCAGTTGTTGTGATCGTGTTTGACATGAGGGAATCGTACACGTTAGACCATGCCAAGAGGTGGTACCAAGAATCACTACTCGAGAACAGTCATGATCCTCATATATTCCTGGTCGGAACCAAGCGAGATTTATGTGTAAGTCGTTGAACTTTAGGGCAAGTCCAAGCTATGTCTGCCTGTCCCGTACTTTACGGACCATAAATAAAAATTAGAGTATAGCTGGGCAGCATTTAATAAAACCGCCATAAGTACAATTTTGCCCACAATCCACTGAAATGAGTGTACTAAATTTAACACATGTTTAAATGGGATGCCATTGAACTTGCATTTTAGCACGTTTAATGTCATTCATGAACAAAAAAAATGAGTTTTTCAGAACACAATGTCATGTACATGTATGCAATTAGGAAATCAACATCCTTTATGCTAAAATTGTCCTAAATTCTATCATCAATGTATGTAATTTTGTAATTGCTAATTGACAAATTTTGTTTACATGTTTGATAGTAGCTAGAGACCACATATAAATGTACATGCACTAGCAATCAACCCCTAAAACCATAATTAGGTGTGCTTATCTATTTCCAACATATACTTGTGGTTTATGTTGACCAATATCATACAATTTATATTAGATATACAGTATTGACTGCTTTGAGTAGCACGGTTAAAACTTTTGCAAAAGGCGATCTCGAAACTGTACTGTGACTCCAGACAAAGTCGAGGTGGGTGCATAGTGCAGAGTCTGGAGGTCACCGAGGAGCTCTAGTTTTACCTGTGACCTGATCAGCAGTCGATATTTGTTTCATATACCGCATCCCCATGTCGATTCTTAAAAGGAGGAATTTTAACAAGATATGCCAGTCAAAATGCATATATTTGTAGAATCTAGGGAAATTTACTAAGAGCATCGCAGGCGTCTCCCTTCGCATATGCATTGTTAACTTTATGCATGCCCGTTGCGTCCTTATGCCAGGCAATATTTCTTGTTATACTGCCCACTGCCCAGCAGTCATTAGCAAATTTCATGCCTGCAGTTAAGACCAATTAGGGACCTAGAATCTTCATATGTGGGACATATATTCATCTATCTGTACTCGTAGTACAGTATTATTGCCAGTAATACCAGTATGTTTACAATTTATTGAGTGGGTACTTACAAATGATTTTTCATTTGGTGGTTTAAAATATTCATTTCCTGATGTACATCCTGGTACTTTTGTCTCCACTTCGTTTCAAGGGGAAATACATGTAAAATTGGTTACTCTTTTGATCCTTATTTCATAGACTTGGAGGATACATTGCACATTAACCTGTACTGTACATGTAACAAGCAATAAACATTACTAGTTTCTCTCTCTCTTTCTCTCTTTCTCTCTTTCTCTCTTGCTCTCTTGCTCTCTTTCTTTATCCCCTCCCATTTCTACTTTGCTATTTTCTGACTTTTGCATCCTATCATTCATGTACTGGGCTTGTGCCGGTTGTTATGCAATTTCTTAATGATACTATCTGAAACTTTACTTGCTACTCGTTTCTTACTTTATTTGTTAAATCTAATTTGATAGGAAGTTTTGCCTCATTCTGTTTTGTATTAATTCATTGTACATACAGGTATATCCCAATTTTAGGAATTGCAAGTTTTTACCTTTGTAAAAATGCATTTAAAGATGGAATTGAATAAATTGAAACTGAAACTGAAACTGATAGAAACATGTATTACTAGTTACTACAATGTGTATACCGGTACTGACGGTGCATTTACGTTTTATGGTTTTATAGCTACCGAATCTACAAACACACACGTGATCCTGATGTCATGAAATTCTCTGAAATCCCCAGCCGTATTGATTATCAAACAATCTGATACAAATTACAGACAGAACAACATGTACATGTATGTAAATACCAAACATTTGTTTAGGCCTTATACAACAGCAGTGTAGTGTGTGCAGCATGGTCATGTACATTGTGTTGTATCAATGCAAGAAATACATACCGGTACTCAGGGAAAAAATTAATATTTATTTTTCGGGGGCTACTTTTCAAGCTTGTCTGCATAAAATAACACTCTAAAATGTACAAGTGTAATATATGTAGCTGTGAACAAAAAAACAAATCCATATACATCTACATGTACTTTGAAATGCTGTTTATTCATGTGGAATAATATTTGACAACGGTCTCTATGTTTCCCAGAGTGTTGACAAAATAAGTCACATGCCTCATTTGGATGTGTCATGGCAAGCTGCCTAAAATGCTTTGGTTATTAAAAATATATTGACATTGGGAATGTATAGTGCTCATCACATATCTCGATTTATACAATGCCTACTAACATTCTTGCAACCTCATTGGTAAATTCTTGATCACATGACATGCGCTAAAAGTACCATTGAACGGCATCATTCTCCAGCCGTGCAATTCCGTTTGATTCTTTCGCACCATTGCACTCTGACGTCACTAACGATGTACAAAGTATATGGTGAGCTAAGTGACGTCAGAGTGCAATGGTGCGAAAGGATCAAACGGAATTGCACTCCACGTCACATTAAACATAAAGGTTGGTACGTGTGGCGCATGGTACGCGCGTGGTTTGCTGCCTGCTTAAAAGTGCGCGCTCACTATTAGCAATTTCATTAATTGAAAACAAACAAAAAATGGCTGAGATTTAGGCCTAGGAAAACTGTTTTAAGCCGGTTAACGTCCGAGGTGTTGTATAAAACAAAAAGTGAATGGTCTTTATTCGTGCAATGGAACAATATTTTGCATTCGGTGAAAGATAAGACGCCATTCAACTCGGCTGCGCCTCGTTGAATATAGCGTCTCTTATCTTTCACCTCGTGCAAAATCTTGTACCATTGCACTCATGACCATTCACTATTTGTATACTATTCTAGATCTACATGTTGTAGCCTTTTTTTGCATGCATCTCTTCTTCGTCTTTTTTAAAAATATCCCATTAATAATGCCCCTTCAAGGATCCCTCTTCCAATTTATTTTCATGTAAAATGAGCTCCAATTTGCTGATTAAGATAAAATTTACAACAGGGACTGCAGTAATGTTACGTCATGAAGCAATAGACCGGTTTACTAAACTGGTATAAACATACAAACGACCAAGAAAATATCATCTGTTCACAGAAACAAAAGGGATGTACATGGTCTACTCATAGTTGTTTTTCATCTTCTCAAAATTCTGTCCTTATTAAAACATTATTTTGCTACATGTACTACTTGTCGATCTTCTCTTCTGTGGAACTCAAACTTCTTGTTAGAGGGTACATGTAGTTGACCACGTGTGAACAGCACTTTATAGATTCCCTGATAGAGTGGATGACATCTTGATCATTCTTTTTTGCTATCTAGGAATCACATGAAGAGGTTCAGAAGGTTGAAGAGGCTGCTATGGAGGTAGCTAGAGAGATCAAGGCTGAATACTGGTCGGTGTCTTCCTTGTCAGGTGAGTGGTGGTGGTGGTGGTGGTGGTGGTGGTGGTGGTGGTGGTGGTGGTGGTGGTGGTGTGGCGGCGGCGGCGGCGGCGATGATGGTGATGGTGGTGGTAGTGGTGGTGGTGATGGTGGTGATGATGATGATGATAATGATGGTGATGATGATGATGGTGGTGGTGATGATGATGATGATGATGATGATGATGATGGTGGTGATGATGATGATGATGGTGGTGATGATGATGATGATGATGATGGTGATGATGATGATGATGGGGTAGGAGGGAGGGAGGGAGGGGGGAGGGATGATGATGGCGGAGGTGATGGTGGTGACAGTAATGATGGCAATGATGCAATGATGATCGTGATAGTGATCGTGATGATGATAGTAGATGGCGATGTTGATGGTGTTAATGATTTTGTTGATAATGGTGAAGAATTTAGTATTAGTAGTAATATCAGTCGGGGCAATGAAATTAAGAAAAATTAAATAAATTTCAATTGTAGCACACTCTGATGAGTTGATGTCTTAATGAACTTTATAACAAAAGTTAGTGATTTAGTGATAACAAAGTGGTGTAAAGAAGAGAGGAATTTATAGTAATAATTACATTTTTCTTACATACATGTTAAAGGTGCTTTTGAGACTAGTGATCAATGTCAGTGATGCTAATAAATGGGATGGCATTCATGTTAGAACAGTTTTGGGAAGAAGATTTGGATTATTATTATTTAATAATTGTAAGAGAACTAACTCAGGATTCTAACAATTTTTTTCTTCTTCTTACCAGGCCAGAATGTGGAAGAATTCTTCAACCGTCTTGCGGGAATAACGTTCAATGCATCAGTACTGAAAGCCCTGGATGATCTTGAGGCCAAGTCAGCTAGTAGGCAGATTGCCATCGCACAGAGCAGTGAAAACAGGATAAGTAAGTGCAGAGAAAAGTTTCATAGACAGTTTCAGTTTCAGTTGCATTTATTTCTCCTCAAGAGATCAACAGATAAAAATACATATATAAACAGACAAATGTATGACAATACAAAAGATGAATTATACAAAGTGAGGAAGGCAGTGGCCAAAAAGGAAACAAACCTTGTAAGAGGCCAACCAGACAAGATATAATAGGTAACATTAAACTTAAAAGATATCAAAAAGGAACACAAGATACATGTAAGATAAGAAATGAAGTACCTAACCTAATAAACAAACTTAACAAAAGAGCCTGATATGGAATCGTATATTTAGAAACTTTATATTTCCTTCTAAAAACAAGCATAGACAGGAAAATGACGGATCAGCAGATGATTTTGTGAAGGATAGGAATTTTATTGATAGACCTACTAGCTCAGACACCTAACGATTTGACTGGACTGTCTTAGAAAGACTACTGAAAGTATTCTACTGAAATGTAGACCTGATGGGAGGGGGGGGGGGGGTTTAGTTTTTGTTCCAAATTGGGTTTAACAAAAGAAAGTCTTGAGGTTTAAGTTTTCCTTTGTTAAATGGTTGAACTTAATTAGCAGAATATAGATTTATGTGACCAGCTTTTTAATATGACTGATTTTCATGTATCATTTCTATTAATCTGTTTTTCTCCAGAAATGGGGGGGGGGGGGGGGGGATGTGCTTGAAAACTTAGTATAAGCTTTAATGAGATTAATTTTCAGTCATTACCATAACCCAAGATTACCAAAATCTAGATATTATACCTCAGCTTTATGTTTTTATCCTTTTCTTATGCTTTACATGTCTAATGTTCATCTTTATAGACAGACCTACTATCAAATACTTTTTTTTCTTCTTTTTATTCCAGAGTTGACACCTGATGATATAGATGGTGGGCCAGGATATAAGAACAAAAAAGCTGGATGTTGCAACTGAGTCGGTTTCTCCGGGACTTCTTGAAGCATTGGAACATGTTATGAGCCTTATCGCCCTACATAGGGGAAAGACACTATCAGATCGGCCTCTTGTTTTGACGGTTTTGCCACTCGGACTCTTTCTGGCTCTACTGACCACCTCTACATAAGGTTGACAGAGGTCAATTTTATGAAAGAGTTTTTTTTGCGTACAAGACGATTATTTCTGTCCGCATGTGGTTCTTGCCAAGTTTCATACAGGGGAGCTTTCATGGATTTTCATGGCGAAGGACTTAAACAAGTTACTCAAGCAGGGAGATTTCCACAGACCCCTGTCCACTGTGCGAGTGGATGCAGATTTTAGTTTTCTGTGATGATGACGATTCAATGAGTCAAGTTGCATAAGTGCTTTTAATTGTTATTTAGAACCTTCAGTCATGCTAAAGTCCTTGTTGTAACATTATCAGCCATTAAAGCAATAATTTGACATAGAAATCCATCAAAATAATAGATATGGTAATTCTTAACAATGTGAACAGGCCAAATTTCGCTCAGTTCCCACTGTAGGATTTTGGGAGCAATCCAGCGATGGGCTCCTGTTTGCAGGCAAATGCCTGAAAGTGATGTCGCTCATCGTGGCACTTGTTCCGATTGCGACAAATCGAAAGCTCCGTACTAATGCTAAGCTAAGAAGAACACAGAAGTGTTTGGTTCCTCCCCCTAAGACTCACCTATAAAGCCTCCTTCAGATTCGATGCAGTAAACTTAAGCGTTTTTTAATTTATTTTGAAGACCGTAAGTGTAGAACACTTTACACGTCTGTATCGTATAACAGAGAGCTACACGTTGGACCCTTGTTGCGCACAATCGCCATTCTTTTACACGTTATAAAAAAAGAAATGCCCCTTACTGCTTTATTTCTGAACTAGGCTTAAAGGGAGCGGATCGCCAGTTTCCATGTGCAGAAGGCCATAATTCGCTGACACCAGACTTGGTGGAAATACCATTAATGGGGGTACAAATTTGCACACAGCAAACCCATAGTCCAGTCAAGAATTACTCCCTAATCTCTCGGAGAGCTCGAGAGTCTTCGGGCAAATCAAAGCATTACATAAGGTCCAATGGTCATAAAACTCAAGGCTAACCCTGGTGATTGACAACACCTGTTATTGGGTAAACACCCGAACGGTGTCGAATTCCCCATGAGAGCCGACTACTCAGTGACTTTAAGAATCGTGCATAGATGTGCTACCTGTGCTGATGAAATGTCAAGTCATCGGAAAGATCATTTAATATATTTTTTTGTGGTTTGAGTACATTAACACCAGTTTTACCAAATGTCTTGTTATTGTAACGTCATGTTTACCATAAAAAATAATTGGGATACTAATATGTCTTTTGTAGCTTTGTTCATTTGCACATAGGTCAAAAGCAAATCATATACTTTTATTTAAGAGTGTGCTTTCATGCCTTACATCAATATTGTTTCTGTGATACTTTGTGTTTGGAAGAACTGTCTCAAACTCTTTTTTGGTCGAGTAGGTATGTTAAGTTTAGTTTGGTTTAATACTAAAAGGCATTTTAGCTATTGTACTAGGTGTAGAAGAAAAAATGTTGACAATTTTGATCATTAATAACTCAAAAGTTAGATCTTGTATCCGACTGAGGTATTGGACATTGTATGGATGAAGGATGTCAAATTGATCTGCGTTAAGTTTGTGAGATTTCTGTGTATACTCTTCTTCTCAATACAGTGTTCTGAATATTGAATAAGATTGTCTTTTTTCTTCAAATAATCAAGGCCATAAAATATATGTGTATCAGTAATTAGTTCAGATCACAATGATGCCACTGTGCATTACACCTGTTATTTCTGCCACCCTTTTGATATCCATTGTCATGAATGATTATTAATAATAATAGTAATAATAGGCAATATGTAGCGCTGTCTATCTAAACAATTCTATTCCGGGACGCATAAGAAAAATAGAAAGATTAAGAGAGTTTGGATGAATGTCATGGTGCGAAGTACAGGTATTGTAAAAAAAAAAAGAAGAGATTTCAGCTTGGATTTGAAGGTCTCTATATTCATGACTCTGGGTTCCAAGAGCTACTCTAGAATTTCAGCTGCCATGCTCAATAGCAATCATTATATTCTGAAATAATCACTTGATACACACACCGATTTTGAAGCCCTGATTTTTCACTAAAAAGTGAAAATCTAATTAAATATTCAAAGCATTATTTTAGGAATAGTATTCATAGGAATTTTTATCCGACTAATGATGCCCCAAATAAATTTGACATTGTACAACTTAACAATAAGAAAACTTGATTTTGATATGAGTTTAATATAGATTTTCGGTCTTATTTAACAACAATTTTTTCTTTCTTTTTCCTTACACTTTAATAGTAGTTGATACATTGTATTTGTCAGGTGATCTACAAGTATACGTAGGATCAACTCAGATGAAAACTTGAATAGAATCAAGTCAAATTGCTATTGTCAAAACATTTACTAGAAGGCTTAATAATGTTACATACATTCTTTTAAAAAAAATTCAGCTTGCTGGTCAAGTTATCTGCCTTATTTTTCGTTCACTTTGGTTTTACTTTATTTTGAAAGTTATTAGTTTGTACATAATTGCACAGTTAGCTTTAGTTGTGAAGTCATCTTTTGATCAAATTGTTTTTTAATTATTTTAGTGCTGTGTGTGTGAAATTGGAAGCGAATCTCAAATACTGTTTGACTCAAATCGGTCATGTGCCCATCGTCAGTGGAATTTAGTAAAAGGTATTTAAAAATAATAAGATAATTAAGATAATAAAAAAGTTCTTCAAATTTTGATACTGCTAGTTAATTACCTTTAATCATGAGTTCATCTCAGATGCAATTTTTTCTCTTTACTTATACCCTTCCTCATTCTATGAAATTCAAAATACTTTTTTGCTGTCTAATCTGACATTATGTGAGAGAAATTTCCTTTATTACTCTTATGCTCCATCATAATCATCCAGAGCCCAATCATAATCACAATTTTAACGTTTTCCATTTCTTACAATTCCTTGTTCTCAATAATGTTTATACTTTCCTTCTTTCATGAAATAATTGTGACAATATGATTTGATAGATCAAGTTTATATCTGCTCAGAACTTTCATCTATCCAGCAGAATAAATCGTACTGTCATTATCATTTCACATAGGAGGCGGAAAAAAATTTGTTCCAACTTTTGATATGGGCAATAGTGTACATGCATACTTTTCATATACATATTATATTTTTCTGGAACTTTTAGCTGAAGCTTAAGTGTGCTCAATAAATTATTCCTATACCATTCTACGGTATATCATTTGCAGTTTTAGTACAGAAATAATGCTTGATGGCAGTTTGAAAGAGCATTTAAACTGTATTTTCATGAGTTTTTTTCTTCAGATTTACTAGAATGACACTCTTTTTTATTTTTATTTTTGGATTATAAAGTCAGAACCCATATTGATTGTGTGATGAAAAACATACTTTCTTCATCACAAAATTAAATGAAGACTACTGGTAATACTTTTATCCATTTTCACGTTAATAGAATCAGAAAACCTCCACTCTGTGGTGAAGACATTAACTGTATCATTTGGTTCTTTGTTCTTTATGCTCTTTATATACAGTCTTTGTAAAACTCAAAATGGTTTGTTGTGCATTTACCCCATTGCCTACTGGAACCTGGTAGTACCTGTATAAGGCCTTTCATGAATGAGAGAATTTGGTAGTCAACTGGTTAATAGTCAGGTGCTCATATCTTTATGTATCATGTCAGGTAGCTATTTGACCGTTTACAGGTGCATAATATCTAGTCATGTTTACCCGTATATAGAATTTAATGTAAAAGATGTAAAAATTGGCAAATTGCTACCGGTATATATATTATTTTTGTGTCTTGTTTATAATTGAAAGAAAACTTTCCGTCTCCCAACATTCCTTTGTGGTACCTCTTTGCGTGAAGATATGTTTGTTTTTCCCCTCCGACATTCTTTTCTGTTTATTATTTCAGTTTTATTCAGCTGCTGCAAGTAATGGTTCTGGAACTTCTAATGCTACAATATCTCACCTTCCTTGTTACTGTATATGCAAAATTGCAAATGGTTTTGTTTTGTTGGGTTTACGTCAGTTTTTTAAATGAAACTAAGTATGCTCCATATTTTTTCTATTTTCTGATGAGTGCTCTAGCCAAAAGTAAAGATATAGTATTATAACCTAGCATTTCTACAGAAACTCAATAAATATGATCTTTGTATTTGTATGGAGTTGTTTTGATCATAGCCATCGTGGAAATTGGTTTAAAATCAAATACAGGTAGAATGTAATGCATCAATATGAATGCACAACCTCTTTTGAAAAAAAGTGATGTTGAAACACAAATGAAGAACAATGCAAGTTGATTTTGAACCAATTAGTACCACATTTGTCATCTTCAGTACTTGTTTGTGCATTTTAGCAGATTTCATTTGTTTGTAGTTTTTAGCATTCACTACATGTAGATTCCATGAGAATTTAAATATTTTGTCAAAAACTAAAACCCTTATTATTCACTAGTCTGTCAAATGAAAGATGAACAAACATTAATGTTATGATTTCTGAGCCTCAAGTAATGAGACCAAATTTGAAGTGGTGCCTGGAAAGGACAAGATAAAGCAAATGATACGTGGGAATATTTTTTATCATAAAGTGTAAGGGGACCCTTGTTTTTAAATGTATGCTCGTGTGTATCAGCTCATGTATCCTAAACGTATTATACTACCAGTATGTTAACTCTACATTTCAGATCACTATAGGAAAATAATGTACATGTATATCTTCCATGTAGCTCCATATGAAATATATTCTTGTTATCTTTCCCTTTGCTGTGTTCTCTTTATATTATTGAAATATATTTATCCCTTTCATATATGCTCTTCCATTTTATGCTGAAATCATGTTCAATTCACTGTTTGCTTTATTAGTAATACCGGTAGTTAAAGTTTGGTGACCTTGTTTGATATTTTCGAGACGTCAAAAGATCATACTTATCTCTCCTCAGTATTATGTGATTTACCCATTTTTAAGAGTACCGGTATACATATTTCATTTTCCTCTTCATATTATGTAATTATTTCAGCATTATGGTCCTTTTTTGTTTTTAAAGATCCTAAATGAACGATATTACTATTTAGTAGTAGTAAACAGTAAGGTCATAATTCATTCTAGTAATCCCACTGGTCTGTAATAAGTCTTTATAAAATGAGCAATAGAATAATTTGCTCTTTTTACATACTCTAAAGAATTTTTGAAATTCTTAATCACAGTACCATTTACATGTAGGTATATTTTTCAAGTCTGGAACTAGTACAAAATAACTATTGTTCTTTTTGTAACATTTCAAATATAACTACACTTATCTTTATTACTAGCAGTCTTTGTTATAAATTATCTTACAACTTTTTCTTTCTGAATGCAAGTACACTAGAGCCCTATATCTATTTTCACCAAGGCTTTCCCACAAAGCAATAATTTTGTGTCCTACATGTTAACCTATCTTGCAAGTTCTATTTTTTGCAAGTTATGATTTTTATTCTCTTTTTTGTCCAACGATTGTTAGCACTTTTAACTTTGATAACCATTTCCGCAATTAGGATTCACCCAAAAGGAAAAAAAAATGCTGCCAGGATATCTTTGAAAACACTTGAATGAATATTTGAGTGAGTGATAAGGATTTCTTTATTCTATTTGATAATAATGCAAGTGTACTTGATGTTCACTTATCATGTGGTCAATTGATTTTGTCCTCACGTAGATGGAAAGATACACTGGATATAGATCATAACTTTGTTTTTCTATTTTTATCAATCTTTCTTATCAGATTTCAGTCAGGTGCTGTGCATGTAATGTCATTCTACTGCATTTACTTTCACTATCGATCCCTCATTAAAAACAAAACAAAAAATATTTTTTGAAAACTATTTATAGCATCTTTGTGCTATGTATATTTGATGTAATGACATCATAAACATCAATTGAAAAGTAATTGTATTGGCTAATGCTCTCTCTCTCTCTCTCTCTCTCTCTCTCTTGCTCTCTCGCTCTTTCTCTAAAGTATACCAATCAACATTTTTTTCTCATGCGAGTAGTTTCATGTCGTAAAACTACATTCAAAATATGAGCTTCAAATATTATTTCTGTAAAGATTTTTTCGAGTAAATAAAGTTTAACATACACTCTCAATTAACATAAAAGTGACCTGTTAACGTGTAGCTATTTAAATGGGCAACAATATTTTACTGATACT